AATGTGGACAATGAAACTATTTGTTGATGAAACAACCTAAGAGCAAAAAGAACATGCTCACAAAACACAAAAATCAAGCAAAACTTGGAATAAAAATGGACAAACTATAACCTCTACATTATTCAACGAACACTCAAAAATGCGACTTCGGCTCAAACAAAATGTGGTTCAAAAATATCGATTGAATGTCAAACAATTTAAAGAAAAGGAAAAAAACAAGGACAACGATTACCCCAGTGGTGGCAGCAACGTGCTCAACCGCGTAAATTCACCACCGAAGAAGAAAAGGCGGAAGTTACCAACATTGCTGCGTTGGCTAGCTTTATCAACCCTTTGCAGCCGTGAAAATGTGCAAAGTGAGGATGCTGCGGGAGCTGGTGAAGCAGCGACTAAACGTGGCCGTCGAGGAGATCTTCCAACTCTTCGAGAGAACCATCGCGGACTACGAGGAGGAACTTTGTCGAACCAAAGAGGAGAACGAGCGACAACGCGAACTACTGGACGCGGTTCTCAAGCCACAAGTTGGAATACACGCGTCGGGTTTGTTGTCGAGTTGATTGCATCACATGTCCGATAAGAAATACACGCCGCACCGACTTTTTTGACTTCATAGTTGGTGTCGCCCCCTGTGGCCACAACTTTGGCTTGTGTGTCTGCATTGCGGTAATTTTATTGCTTTAACTGACGTCACCATCGTGACAATAAAGAAACTATTAAATTAAAAGTCTCTCTGAAGCAAATTTTCAATCGCCGTATTTTTTTTCCGGGGGGTGCTGGCGTGAATGTTTGAATGAGTTATATTTGTCTTAGGTTGGATTGTGGCAGTTTGTTTTTTTAAAAAAACTGCAGAAATCGGCCATTTCCTGACGCTTTTACAGTAGCTAAGATAGGCTGATCAAATCTACATATAAGTTTAAACAGTTATTCTAAAAGGCAAAAAGCTCTATAACACGATTTAAAAAAGACACCACAGTGCCTGGATCACAGATATTTCACAGATATTTCAGCAATTGGCTGCGGGGCTGCATCCTTTCCCTGCAGGGGTGTCAAATTCATTTTTTTCACGGGCCACATTGTAGTTGCGGTTTCCCTTGGAGGGCCGTTATGAATTTTGTGAAACCATACGAATGTTTGATCACCTCTACATATTACATACACAGCGCACAACAAATTGATGGAGAATCAGTTTTAAAATTAAAAGTCAAGAATATTTACTGTTATTGTGGATTACATACGACAATGTGAAATTTTGGTTCAGAGTTTAGCAAGCATCATGGAACTTGACATGCTTGAATTGCTTTCGCGGGCCACATAAAGTGATGTGGCAGGCCAGATCTGGCCCCGGGGCCTTGAGTTTGACACCTTGTGCTTTACTGTATCGAAAGCATCACTCAAACTCAAGAGTTCAACCAAGGAGTTGCATTCCAATTTATCGTTCCCAGAATAAAAGCCCTGCCAAATGTTCATACGTGTTCCTTCCGTCCTTTAGACATCCAGCAAGTGTTGGTGGAGAGTGAAGAAGAGGTTCCCTCTGAGCAGCAGGAGGAGCCAACAGAGCCCCTTCATGTCAAAGAAGAAGACGAGGATGAGGATGAGTGGACCAGCTACGGCGTCAAGCGCGAGGACGACAGTGCGCCTCGTGGACACGGAGAGGAGAACCGAAGCGGCACGAGCTGGGAAATTGAAGCAAAAGCACACGTGGACGACGACATCTCCGCCTCTTCCGACACCGAACTCAGTGACGACGCCAAAGAGCCATCGGACCCGAAAGGTGACAACGACCTGTTAATCTGCACAGAATGCGGCAAAACGTTTGTCCAGAGGGGGAATTTGAACAGACACCTGAGAACACACAGCGGGGAGAAACCGTTTGTGTGTTCGTTTTGCAGCAAGAGCTTCACCAGGAAGTCCGATTTGAAGGTGCACATGCAGGCCAAACACACGGGCGAGAAGCCCTTCAACTGCGACATCTGCGCAAAAAAATTCCCTGTGAAGAAATACTTGATGATTCACATGAGGACGCACTCTCTGGATAAACCGTTCGCTTGCTCGGCTTGCTCCAAAGCATTCGCCGCCAAAGCCGA